CTGAATAAGAAAAAAATATTTATTGTAGGAATGTTTGATACATTGTCATTCCCAACTGTCTCTGCTCCTCATAAACTAATCATCCAATAAGAGTTGTTAAATCAGAAATAAAGGTAACCTATTTGAGTTCTGTGGACTGTGGACTGAAGTCATTGGAAATAATACCCTTAAACAGGATATTAAAATATTTTTTTGAAACTGAGAACTGAGTGCAGTAACAGATTAAACAAATGTCTAAACAAGCAAGTAGATTAATTAATTCAATTAGCACTGGAGATTTAGAGCTTGTCCGGAAGGAAAACTAGAAGGCACAAGAATGTGTTTGGGAGCTACTGTATTTGGAAACTGTCATAATAACATGCTTTGAAGTATACCTTGAAACTCTACACGTAGAGTCTAAAACACAGATTTTAGCAAAGCAGATTATGAAGGAATGGGGAAGATTACAAAACATAACCATTTCTTGAAAGAGGCCATGTGGTCAGCTTTGGGTAGCATGTCCCAGACACTCATCACCCTCGACATCACAGGTAAGTACTGACAAGGATACAGCAGTGTTCAACACAGAGCCCTGCCTACGGAAAAAAAAAATGAAAGCAAATACATTGAATATCATGACTGAAGAATTCTTAATGTGGCTTCTTTCTGTAATGTTTACAAAAAGTAATTGCCTTTCAATATACATTGATGTCAGTTTTGAAGCGAACTACAATGTTCAGATAGTGGAAGTCATAATATAATTATTAATTATTTATTATTATTATAAGTTATCAGAAACAATTTAACCACTGACTTTGACAACATCATAACGATCGTTCTGATTATATATAGTACGCTTCATAAAGCACAATAACAAAATGCACTCCTTGCATTACAATGGGGATGTATAATAGTTCTGTCCGATGTGTTCTTGATGTCCTAGAAATCTAATTACCTTTACAGAGAAATATGTATTTCATCAGTTTATTGGGAATGAAAAATAAATGCAAAGTTATGAAGTTATCAGGGTGAACAGAGATCAAAAAGGAAATATACACCAAAACTTTAATTGGTGAATCAATATATTCTTACTCCTTTGCATTTATTGTCCTAAATATGTGAAGATATTGGAAATGTAAATATTATATATCATTCAAACTTAAAAATCTAATTATATATAAAATTAAAATAGACAAGTAGTTATTAGGCAAGTACTTGAATGATGAAGCATTAAGGAAATGTTAATACAATAACTCTTCTCATTTATTACCAAACCACAGAGGGAAAAGGATGATAATTTCTGGTGTCCTTTGATATTGATTTTGTTGTACAATAATCCATTATATAATTGAAAGAAGAGTGATATACAAATCATTACTTGTCAATTTTAAACCAGTCTCTACTTTGGAAATTTAACTTCCTCTTTTTAAATGTGAGTGCCTGCATACTTGTTTAAGTATAATGTCAGCAAATGAAAGCTGTGTTTCTGAGTAAAACACAGAGGAAGATGCTGACCTCAATGTTGAGCATTGCCAAAGAAGCCTAAAACAACAGATCACATTAGGAGAAAAAACATGGATTTAATTATGACTCAAAATGAGCTTTTATAGTCAGAAAATAAACAAGTTGCAAATAAGAAAAAGTATTTGGTAGTTTAGTAGCTAAGTGAAACTGAAATTTTGGCTAGCCATTTCTTAAAAGTGCTCAGAGTGTGGGCATCAATGACCTTTATGAGAAGTCCATTCAAGATACTCTCAGCTCTTGGTATAAAGAAGTATTTCCTCCTCCTCCCCTTTTAAATTTCCAGTTGTGATCCCATGTCTTGTTTTTCTACTGAGTGTGAATTAGTCCCCTGGGTTAAACCTACGGTATGTATAACCCTTATACTGTATACCTTAGATACAGTATAAGTACTTGAATCAAATTTATTCTCAGTCTCTTTTGTTCTAGACTGAAAAGACTGAACTATCTTAACCTGTCAGTACAGTATATGACAGTTCCCTGAAACCAGAAATGTTGATGCTCTGTTTCAGCATACTTTTAAACAGAGTATCAGATGTAGTGACCAGAACTGAACACAATATTCTACATTAGGTCTGAATTTAAATTAACTTCTATATATACAAACATCCTATTGCTTTATTTCCTCCCCACACTTAATGTCTTAACGATGAACTACGAAAATCTACAGTATATGAACACCCACATCCCTTTTCATACAGTATGTAGCCCATGTGCTGTATAGAGTGTATGTTCACACTATAAATGTCACTACAAATATCACTTTGCACTTCTTAATATTAAATTTTATTAAGCATGTGTTTGCCTATTCAATGATTTTGTCTGTCTCTATGTATCTGTTTTGCCACAGTCTCTAAGTTTGCTATAACTAGTTTGCTAACATTGTCTGCATTGAAATACTGTATGAGACATAGATCAGGAAGGAAAATTAACCTAAAATGAATCCCAATGTCATACCACTGTTTACATCTACTTATCTGGAATTTGTGGATCTCAACATCACACACTGTACCAAATACATTAACCAGGACTTGATCCATGAGCATACATTATATACTTGTTCAGGTGGGTAGCTGCTTCAGCATGCGTAATAGGTTTATTCCTAGACTTGTACATTATATACTGTATGGCATTTCAATTGAGAATCAATGATAAAGGGGGTCAAAAGCTTTCTACAAGTCTACATGCAGTGTATCATGTTGCATACTTTAGTCATACACACGTAGCTTTTTAAATAACCCTTCCCTTTCTAAATCCATATTGGTTGTCTCTTAAAATGCTATTGTTTTCTACGTATTCCTCTAATTTCATTCTGTCTTTAGTTCAATATGCCAACCAAACCCTAATTAAAATGGAAAAAAAGTTTGAATTAGACTGATTTATTGGTTTAACCTGCTTGTCCGAAGTAATGACCACCTGACCATAAGAACAAAGCTACCTGGACCCCCTTAAAGAACTGAGTCAGACATCATATGTTGGTGTAGAATCCATTAGTTGCAGAGGTTAGAATGAGCTTCTTGTACTGTCGCTTGTTTGAATCTGATCTACTGTGTACCTAACAGTCCAGTCCAACATTCCAGCAGTATAGCATACCAGTTTCATTGTGGAGATCAGCATTTCTTGATGAGCATCAGCGGCTGCTTCACCAATCAGGATTGAGTGACATCTCAGAGGTGGGACAGGATGAGTGGTGAATAATTGGAAATTCTCACCAACAAACAGAGGGTCAGTTGACTGAGATAATCATAATTAATAGTAGGAGAAGAGGGGTTTATAAGGACTCATTAAAGAATAGTTCTTCAATGAGTCATTAAACAGAATGAGAATATGCTGCATGCTGAGATAGGCATTGGCTCCCCCACTCCCTTGAATTGGATGATGCAGTTAGAAAATGAATAGATGGATGAATACATGAATATTTACTTTTGAGATTACAGTTGTGCCATAGAAGCAAATTAAAATATTGTGAAACCTATTAAATGTTGTGACATACTTAATTTTGGAAAGTTTTTGAAACTTGTTTTCTCATAAATGAGAGCTAGAAATCTCAGCCTGTAATTAGACAATTGTGGCTTCAAATCCCATGTGCAGTTTGGCTCTTGAGTAAGGTTCTTCACTCAGAGTTTGTAAAATTCACAGCAATATAAGTGGGGACAAACACATACTGTAGGAGATTTTTTAAGGAAAAAGCATACGGCAGTAAATACAAATACATGAAACTTTGCATACATAGTGCTCTCTTGTCCACTATTGATTGAAGTTGTACTGTGCAGGAAATACATACATGACTGCTACTCAGAAACCAATTGATCCATCTGCATGATACTTAGTGTCCATTAACTTTGTTCTGTGTTCTATCTATGGTACTTATCAAAAATTGTCTCTGCCAGTTAATAATGAGGTTCTGTAAAGTTCACCAAATTTAGTAATATGTTTTTGCATTGCAGTAAACACAACGTTTCTTTTCTTCTTCTTTCAGCATGAAATTAACCTTTACTTTGTCCATTGCAGCCTATGTACAGTATGCTGACGCAGCTACCTACTTGAACTACTTCATACCTAAAAGATGTCCTTCTTTACTATAAAAACAGTATCAAGATTTTGTATTCTGCAAACTAACTTTTTTTCCCAGGAAAGTAAACACATGAATACAAGTTTTAAAATACATTATAGACCTGATGGTTGGAGTGATGGTGTTTTAGTTGTAATAATTCAAGGTATTTCAAATAGAAGTCTCCAGAAAGTGTTAATTACTCCAGGCAGGCACTTTACACTAGCTTTAAAAGCACCAATTAAAATGTATAAGCATAGTTTTGGGCATTTTATAATGATATCGCCTGACCGTCTGAGCTGACCTGAGTGAATATAACATATTTACTGTTACCTCGTGGGGGAAGGAAAAAACGTAAGATTAAAGCAAAATGACAAGAAGTAATCGCACATTCCCATCTTCAGAGATAACATCTTCAAAATATAACCCAACAACGGGAACAAAATATTCTCCCAGTTTCACTACTATGAAGCAAATCAGTTGCCCACAGATGTTTTACAACCCGTACTTTAGAATGATGAAACTCCTGTATTTAATTAATCACACAGTATATAAGGCTTGTTTTAAACTCAAACCATGATTAAATTCACTCGGATTTAACTAGATCACTTAATCTATTTTTAAGAAAACGAGAATACCTCATCGACAGTCAAGATTTACATGAAGAAGCAACTTCTAATTAAACCTCTTACCACCTTTTCTTGTTACCATGTTGATTGGTTGCTTTATTTAGCATTGCACTCGAGACAGGTGCTTCTAACACTTTTCTTTTACGCCTTTTCCAAAAGTGTGAACCAACCAAATCCAGCAGGAAGAGATATTCTTGTCTCTGTATTACATATGATAACCAACAAACATTGCACAAAAAATCTCCTTTCTAAAATGTATGGGAATAAATACTACCTTATTTCTAACTGTTGTTGATTTTGTAAGAACAGTGACTACGTACTGTAGCAGCAGCCAACGCAGCAGCAGATTTGCTGTCGCAGTGCCAGTAGTATCAGTTGTTGTTTTTGGTGTTGTTGAGGCAGCAGTAATCATAAGGTGTAAAGGTGCAGTGTTCTTATTAAATTGAATACGGTAACCAGTTTTGCTGTACTTCCCCTGCAGTTGGCGAGAAGGTAGAATTACGTCATACTCCGTCGAAACAAAGCCGCTTCGGTCCTTTCAGCACCGCTGTCAGAGAGGGGACAGCTCCGTCTTTGAAACGGATTGATTGAGAATTGGAGTCGTGGAGAAAAAGAGGACAGTAAAGGGAAATAAACTGTTGTGAATCTGAAGACTCGAGGAAAACGAGTGAAAACCAAATGTGCGTCTCCAGTCTCGAATGAAAAACGTTTTGAATTGAACTGTGGAAAGGAAATTGAATATTTTAAGTGTTAACTTTGATTTACCGCTTCCTTACAGTTTAGGTAGAGCGTTACTTAAAATATAGCATGGATGGATGCAAAAAAGGACCGAGCATAAGGTATTTGTTTTACTTGTGCTTCACTTTTATTTTTAAATTACGAAGAATCATGTTTCAGTTTAGCTATAAAATAAAATAACAGATTTTCTAAAATAAAATGAATTGTAATTCCTAAAGATTTTAACATGATTTTGTAAACGTGCGTTTATGTCCATGGATACTTACTCACACATATTAAGTAGTATGTGTATATAAAAGTGTACGTGTGTATCGTATTTGTCACATTATGCTGTTTTATTTAAACGTGGTGGGAACTGTGCATTTCTATCAACATTGTTACGAGGGTACTTACACTAATAATAACAACGTTAATTTTATATAGCGCCTTTCATCATCTCAAGGCGCTGTAACAAGGAAGACATGGGTTAGATTCACTGTTATTATTTTAAAGGGGGTTTTTGCCTTTGTTAATGCTAATGACACCAACTCGTCCGGTTTGCTTAATTTTCCTTTGTTTTCTTTTTTCAAACATTATTTTTTACCTAAAGGTACAGTACGACTGGCCATTAACAATATGTCTTTAATAGTGCTAATTATTACAATAGCGTGTGAGAAACAGATACGCTTTGGAACATGAAAGCTGAATTGTCATTTCATCCCTAACTTCAGCAATTAACTGAGGCAACGGCTTTTCCATCACATTTGGGATGAAGCATTATTTTGAAAGAGACTGGTCTTTTACAAATGATGTGGAGTGCCCAAGACAGCTATAGAACATGCTCTGGTTGTTTGCTTTTATGGATGAGGTGATAAGATGATATGATCAACTTTTTTAGCTGACTTTGATTCTATTTCTACTATTTCTATACTAAAATAAGCCAAATTAGTTAAATGTACAGAATCAGTATTTCTAACCTCCAAAAATATACACTATAGGTCATTGATAAAGACACTTTATAGACTATAACAGTACAGGTCCTGATTTTTATGTGTAAGGTACAAAATCTGCTAGAGTAGCACAATAAGTTTTGTGTTGTCATTCTGGTGTAACATAATTTGTAACGGTGATTCAAAATCAAGACTTTGCCATACTATATTTTCATATATTTTTTCAGTTCCTCAATTTATGATTAGAATTACTAATAATAGTATATTTGTATTGATAATAAACCGTAATACAATAGATTGCTTACTAATCACATGTATTTTAATTCCAGGACAACATTCTTTTAAAATAAAAAGTGAAAGAAAAACGAATTGATCATGGATCCAACACCAGAGTATTCTCTCTTCCTGGTCAGGATTCTGGAAGAGCTAGACACCAAACAAAGCAGTGTTTCTTACCAGGATCTGTGTAAATCTCTCTGTGCCAGATTTGACTTGGCTCACCTAGCCAAGCTCAGGAGTCTACTCTTCTATACTGCCTGTCTGGATCCCAGTTTCCCTGCTACCCTCTTCAAAGACAAGATGAGGTGTTCAATGGATGACCAGCAGTCCAAAAAAATAATGGTGGCCGCAGACATAGTGACTATGTTCAACTTAATCCAAATGAATGGTGGGGCAGCCAAAGAAAAATTGCCCATTGGGCAACGGCCCAAGTTTCATAAAAATCAATCTTTTGAATCTTGTCGATCAGACACTGATGTATGCAAGTATTCTGACTGTGAACGAGCTTATGACCTCTCAGATGCGAGAGGGCATTCTGCAACACGGACCTCACCCTGTCCCAAAGCTGAATGCAACAGCACTCAGCATTTCATCCCGACTTCTGATCCAAATTTCTTGCTGGGAGTTAATAAGGAAATGAAATGCAGGGCTGCTTCCCTTGACAAGCTCCAGCTTCTGCCTCAGTATTCCAGCGGCAGTCCTCCACCTTGTGAAATGCAGAGCACCTACTTTCCTATGGATATAGATAGTGAATCAACAACGGATCAGGAATCCTTGCATATGAATTCAGGGATAAAAGAGACTTTCATGTCTAATTCAGAACCTTTTACAGTACACTCCTGTGTGCAGAAAAGGAACATTTTCAAGGAGGATTTCCACAATCTTGCGGCTTTCACTCCTCAAGTAATTACCACAGATTCCAAGCCGAGTGGTAAAGTAACTGGAGGCTACCACAGGAAGGAGTCTCATAAGCCTGCTACCTTCTTTAACCACAGTTTTGAGCTACCGTACAATAACCCGTACTTTGAGCCAATAGCTTCTCCTCCTCAAGAAAAAAGACGCGTAAAGCATGAAAGTTTAGATGATCTTCAGGCATCCACTTACTTCGGACCAACGACGGTAACAGAAAATATCAATACCAGAAGGTCTTCAGGGAAACAAGGCAAACAGTCAGCATGGCCTGTGAAAAGCCTGAGCCTGAATACGGAGGAAGGACCCGATTTTGAAAGGTCCTTTTTAAATGGCAAGCAGCCCAAGGACAATCATCGCCATAATGTTAGCAACAAGGACAAAGACCAGCATTATCAGTGCTCCAAAGAACAGTCAGTTATCTCACCTTCAGGGTTTGCCATTAAATCAAATGGGCCAAAAACAAAAGAGGCCAGCTCAATGTCAAGTGGCCCTGGTTTGGATAAAAGAGAAGGCATGAAAAGGTTTAAAGACAAAAGTATTAACTGCACATCTTTCCAAGCTGCAAATGTAGACAACACACTGAGCGTGGGGACTCAAACAGACCAGTCAGAGCAGAGAAAACTAAAGGACTTTGCCAGTGCCAGTCACACAAAATACAGTGAAAGGCATTCCTTTAAACACTCTGATGAGGACTCTGAAATAGTCAGTGATGACATCAGTGACATTTTTCGATTCTTGGATGACATGAGTATCTGTGGATCCAGTGGAGTCATACAATCATCATGCTACAATAGCAATGGGTCCTTGTCTCATTTGACAAAATCAGATGGAGATAGTTCACCTGAGCATAACACAGTGAAATCAAACAAGACCGGCAGCAAGTTGGACAAATTGTTTCACTCTTTAGAAAACACAGATGATGAGCTTAAGGTCAGCGTCTGTAAACTGGTCCTAAGGATAGGTGAGATTGAGAAAAAACTTGAAACCCTCTCTGGTGTACGAGATGAAATCTCTCAAGTCCTTGCAAAGCTGAACAAGTTGGATGAAAAGATTCAAGAACCAGAAGCAAACAGTAGACCAAATGAGATGGATGTGGCCAGCGAGGAGCATTCAGATGGAAGCATCTCACCAAGGGTCTTCCAGTGTCACACCACTGGGCATGCCGTCAAACTAGACAATAACCCCGAGTGGTGCTGCTCAGAAGCCAGTGGGAGTAATAGTGAAAGTCTGAGGGTCAAAGCCTTGAAAAAGAGTCTTTTCATCAGGAGGTCATCCAGGTCTTTAACAGAAGAAAACAGTGCCACTGAATCCAAAATTGCCAGCATCTCCAATTCTCCCAGAGACTGGAGAGCTGTCTCTTATTCCAGTCACCCTGGGGAGGAAATAAAGGAAAAAGATAGAGACAGCAAAGAAAGACACAGAAAATCCAAAGAGGTAATTTGTATTATATAAAATTTTGACTTACATTGCTTTTGAATTAAATGAATAGCTGCATCCCAAAAGAATAACTTTGTTCTTTAAAATAAAATACATTTTCCTTCCTGGTTATTCCTGGTCACATTAAAAGAATATAAAACATCTACATTATTTAATGTGTTATGTTATTTTATTTAATCCTCACATTTGTGTAAAACAGATTTACAAATTTATAGTACATTCACTGTTGTATATTGTGAACAGAAGTAGTTTTTTTGACGTATTATGTTTCCTTGGTTCTTTGTTTTCTTTGACTATAATCCTTAGATTTGTTATGCACACTATCAATACACAGCAGCACAATAACAGTGACTCTGTTGCTGAGAGTCTGACAAGATACTATAGATCTGATGAGCTAAGTCAGATCTTGCATAACTGACTAATTGTTATGCATTCCTTTGCCACTTCTTGTGAAATCCACTTCCTGAGCTCAGAGGAAAAGGGACTTTCTGCAGTCATTTCTTGTATTACAGATGTCACTAATGTAATTTTTTCAATAGATGGATAGTGCTCAAGCAAAACAGTTAGATCATTACAAAACAATTACATTTAATTAACTAAATTAAAGCTTAATCATACCCAAACACAACAAAGCCTGACAACACATTTTTACCTTTAATCATACCATGATTAGTAGAATAATTAACAACAGGTGGATGTATTTTTTAAATCATCAGGTGCTCTGCTGCTATTTAAAATATCATGTAGAGTATTGTTAGGCTCAGTGACTCAGGGATTCGCTCAGTATGGGCAAATCTTCATGTAAGATTTGGTAAGTTTGATCTTGGTAAGCAGGTTGTGCTCCTGAAATGTATGTTTTTAGATTTAAATTATGATAAGATATCAGTTTTAAGGTTATTTCACAACTGTTTAAGACCTAATCACTAAACATAATGGGCAGCTACAAGCAATGTCGAGCAGCTTTTGTTTTGTATCATGTAAAAGTTTAACGTTTCCTTATTGTTGCTATGAAAAATACAAACTCCTCTTTTTCTTAAACAATGGCCTTGGATTTCTTTGTGAAATCTTGACCAAACCAAGTCAATCTCCCAAACTTCACAATTCATAAACACATCTCTTCAGTCTGGTGGCAGAACATCTTTTAGATGCATGTTAATAACTCCAATGTGTTGTTTTTGTCATGCATAAAAATCTGAGCTGAGATCTACTCAAATTGTCTTGTCTAAACAAATATGTTGATGTCTTTTTGAACACTTGAACAAATACCACCAAAGACATACATATACAGTATACTGTGTAAAAAGAAAGATCAGCCATTATATAAAGTATAAGTAGTCTCTTTTACTGTATTATGGTTTCTACATTGAAAATGTCCTCCCTTTCTTTTAGTCCTCATATGTTCCCCTAGCAGTTGTGCTTTCTGCATACTCGGCTCCCAATTAATAACTTGCTTTCTCAACTATGTTTCAGCTGATATGGCTGTATAGGGTCTCTTTGGTTCTAATTATGCAATCGGTATCAATCACTGTCAGCAAGATCAATTCGCAGTAGTCAATGAATCATCTGCTCATACTCTTCTACTGTTCTATCTGCACCTTTTTTCATTTCTTCTTATACACATTAGTGTTTATTTGGCTTCACTGCTGGCTCTTTGCCCAGAGAGAAAGCCGCCAACTACCAAAGCCTGCCTGCTGTTTACTACTTGTTTTAAGTATTCCTGGGACCAAACATTTTCTGGACCACCCTGCAGAACTGTGTTACAACCTCTCCTTTCAGTATGGTGTGTTTAATCCTTCCCAGCAGATACATTCTCTCTTTTTATTTGCTCTGCTTCTGCTTTTGGAATCTCTATCCTATTTCCATGTGAATTTACTAACCCTAGATATATACTTATATACAGTAACTGATGGAGCTTCATTTGAATTGTATGTTTCCTTATATATTCCCTGCTTTATGGAAGTTTCAATCATGTTTTTTTTTTTCTGTTTCTAATTAATAACGGCATTAGCCAGCACCTATGTTCCAGCTTGAGTTGTCATTTCCCAAAATGCCCTGCAAATGGTCCTTTTGGTCCTTCCCAGGGTTGTTTATTAAGAAGAAGTGTGAACTCAATATTTCACATTAAATAGTGATTGTTTATTATGTGGTGCAAATTATTTAAAACCTTTGTCAGAGATAGACAGGGGGCAGTAACTTATCCGATTGTGCCACTTTTTTCTTGCCTTTTTCCCAGTCTTTCTAAATTTACAGTATCCTTTTCCACTCTCCTTTAACTGATTGCCTACAACTGCCAATGAGCCTTGCAAGTCATTTTGTTAAAACCATCTGTAAAGTGGCTTACTAAGTATCACTCCACACAATTTGTAGCAGTGTTCTCTTTCCGGCATGCAAGGTTCCCTGAAGGGTTTTAAGACCTCACATCATTTTTTACAGCCAAACAGCTCAAGCTTTGATGATATCAAGTAAAAAAAAGGGTAGTAAATTTGTGTTGTCCAATTGGCCTTGCAGCAGAATAAAGCATAACAGAATTTCCTTGAAGAAAAAAGTATTGTCATTTCAGTGAATCCCATTATTGTGGCAGGGAGAATATGAAGATGTAAAATTATGAAAAGCATTCTTATTTTCCATATTTTTAATTAAAAATGTCTGATATTTAAAACATGAGAGTTATAGAAATTCATGAAAAGTCAGTCACTTGAGTATATTTATGCATCCAAGACACTGCAGCTAGCAATCTGTTGTATGAGATGGGTACAGAATATTTAATGTATACAGCAGAGTAAACATCTAGTCTAGGGAGACAGTAAATGTTGTTTTTCTTTTGGCTTGAATCAATAAAACTACTTTCTCCTTTCAATATTTTTTGTATTTGGTATTTGGTATATTGACAGGTCATTGTAAAGTTCAGTGAAAAACCTCTAAGATGTACAGTAACAGATTTTGCTATATAATGAATGCTTACATCTGCATTGCATGTTGTTTCTTTACAAATCATGTAAGGGTACAAGTAAGGTTATACATAAAACAGAAATGGAAAGATTGCTCTAGAGGGAAGAATTATAGTTAGTTTCATAGGATAATACATATATAAATAAGGATTATTATAAGCATGTATTCATGCTACTAAAAGGATATATAACTCCTATTAAAAGGCTATGTTTGGCACATAATCTTATATCTCTAAATCTACTGTTTTTTACAACTCTGCTGGATCCAGCACACCCCTCTGGTCAGGTCTTCAATCTTTTAAACAAATACAGACAAGTAAAGATTAACATCCCCCAGTGTGACACATTTGAACCTAACACCAATGTAATGCTGGTGCACTATGTCTTGGAATTATCCTTATCAAAACCAATAACTCATTCTGCAAACAATTACTCACTGCTAGGAACAGTCAGAAACTGTTTGGAAAAACTGCAAAATTTGAACAGAAAATAGTATTTTATGACAATCCCAGACTGCTTTGTAGATGTGTTGTTTGAGCTAGCAATTACATGCAAATAAAGAGACAATTTTAACAGTGTATGCTGGAAAACATCCTCAAATCATGCTTTGTTTACATGTGATGAAGACTGTTTGCATTGGAGGGCAATTTATCATCAGCTTGAAGATATTAAATGCCAACATTAGTTTTCATAATCTTGCTGCGCTTGTCTTAATAAATTAGTGGCCTGGCAGAGGTCTCCTTTGTCTGTTTGCTGATGAAGGTGCAAAAATAAATAATGATATGTCTACTGGGAATGCTTAAAATCATCCTTACATATTATGTTTAATAACGGAGCCAATAATATTAATGATAATATTAATCATAACACTGATAGGAATTACACTGCTTGTATATGACATTCCAGTTTTAATGTGATAATGGGATTTAAAATCCCTTCTTTTAGTAGCTCTGCTTTTTACTTTCATTTCCCTTGTGGCTTCTGTGTTCTGAGCTTGTAAATTGTTTCCCTCAAGGACCGTCTTTTTCTTGCTTAAGGAACTCTTGTGGTTTTTATCCACAGGCAGACCGGCAGTATGAAATTCCCCAGGCACACCGGACTTCAAAGCAACCAAAAGATTCCTACTTGATAGAGCAAGTCTTCAGCCCTCACCCTTTCCCAGTGTCTGGAAAAGCACACATGAAGAGCAACCCCCTGTACACAGATATGAGGCTGACTGAGATGTCTGAGGCAAAGCGGCCTCAACCCTCCTGGACGATAGAGGAATACAAACGAAACTCAGGAGACAAAGGGAAGCTTGCGGCTTTGGACCTGCAAGTGAGTCTTAATGATCTTCTTTCTCTTGTACAGTACATGCACTGTTTGTTGATTTCCATTTCCACTATCTGAGCACCTTCTTGTTTACAATATTTCAGTTTATGTGTAACTCAGCTCCTAGTGCTCAATTAGTCTCTTACTGGCACCTAGCCCCTGGGTTCTCCAGAACATTAATATCCCACATGACAGGAAACTGTCTATTGTTTTTTTTTTTTCATTTACTACTTTATTTCACCAGGTATGTCAATTGAGAATAATTGAGAAGCACCCCTTTTAGGATTTGAACCCATGATCATCCTTTCCAAGTCACTACGGGTTTAGTAGGTCAGTAGGAGTGGGTAACGTGCTCCCTTGAAAAAGAATAAGCTTTATTTGTACAGATTAAAGAGAGATTAGATAGTACAGTTGAACAAACATATATTTGTATTTGATACTCATTTACAAACTCAGTTAAAGTTAAACAATTAAAACCAAAAAAATAAAACCATCTTATTTACAGAAATTGTATACACAGAAATGTTTTTCCAGACGATGGACATTTTGTCTTTCACTGGAAGAAAGGTGAATTTCAATATTACTTAACTGATCAAAATACAAATACAAATATTTGTTACGTTGTATTTGTATTTGTTACATTGACATGGATTGTACATTAGTAATGTGTCGCAAGAGGACCCAAATTTTGCCATGGACCTACAACAATGCACAGTCTCTTTGAGCTCCATGACAATAGTATCCCATCATTTGACATATACAGTAATCTTGCACATCTTGCACATGAAGCACAATAAAAAGGGGAAAAATACAGGTTGGTAACTGTTTAGATCAATATTTTTAGAATTTATACTGATTCTTTGCACTGTAAATAGCAAATAGGTCACTGTCTATGGAGCTGAAAGTCCCTTTCATATCATCGGGTTCTATTAGTATTCGTCTCCCGTTCCTTTTCATAAAAGGGATTGCTCAGCCTTAGACAAGCTCAACATGCCTCTCTTTTTATTAACATGGTTGGCAGTTATTTCTCACTTGCACAAAATAATGTGCGAGAAGCCAATGCTGAGTCAATAACTCGTTGGAAATAGCTGCTTTTTGCCCTACCCTCACTAATGCTGCTGTGGTGATCTGTGTGTGTATGACTTTGAGACAAAGAATAAAATCATATCTAAAAAGTTCCAAACAAGTTAATATCTTACGATTTATTACTACTATATATATACTACGATATATGATTTATAACATGAGCTTTCTGTCACAAAATGACCCATCAATAAGATGCTGTAGGATTCACATGTTCTGCAGTGGTGTAGAACTGGCATTGCGTCTCTGCCTGAATAGCCCTTCTTCAGGACATTACATTTTCCATTCCTATGTCTACACTGTAAAACTTTCAAAAGCCAGCTTTAAATTTATGATTTCAGGGAGACGGTGGTTGATAATGCAGACCTGTGGGTGGTGCCTTTCAGTAAAAGAATAGCAAGTGTGGTACTATATGATATGATGTGGTATGCTGTGCTTTGATGGCAAGTAAAATATTAAGGTGTGAGGATTTCTTCTTAGAACCATTAATTATGTCCCTGGTTCAGCTTTATACAGTATTACACCCTTGTTTGCTTTTTGCTTGAGGTGAAGACTTTGACATTCACCCTTAATAATTAAACTTTAAAACACCCTGTGTCCCCAGGCAAGTAAAGTAAAATCAGTAGCAGTACAATCTATTATTAATGTGGCAGCTAAAATTTCATCTCAAATCTCTAAAATAATCTTATTTTCAACATCCACTGACTATTCCTCCTTGGTCTGTGCTACTCCAGTAACATACCCAATTGTGGTATCTGAAAAAGGAACTGTTAAAAATGGCCACCTTCAAAAAGCAGTGATTTTTAATTTACTTATGATAAATTTTTACAGTTATCCAAATGTACAAATAAAATTAACCTTCCAGCCCAGCTAATCCTAAAGACACGTGATTTCTACAATCTTCTGTGAGGATTCTTCTGGTAATATCACTTGCTTCTTGACCTGCAAAAGGGCATCACTAAGAGACCTGCACCATTAATTCCAGTAAACCTGCACTCTGCTCTGATGTAACATGCAATCCTGCCAAGTGATCCAGGCAATTGATTGTGACAAAATTGCAAGTGTTTGAAGATTACCTTGTCTGGGCCTCAGCCATTATTGTCATTACACAAAACTGTCTGAATAAAATAGGTATTAGAACTGAGATCATTGCACCTTCTTGAAGTTTGCTTCATTTCTTTTTTCTTGAATCGTTCTCTCATTGTAATAAGAATTTTACAACCAAATGAGGAAGGAATTCACATTAGCATTTAGACCTGCTTCATAAAATTAAAATTATACATTATCCAAAGTAAAGACAGCTGTGTTTTATTTCCTGAACTGAAAGAGCTAAATGTTTAAGTGCAAAGCCAGGTGTAACAAAAGGCTATGTAGTTACCCTTACACAAAATTCTTAAAATTAACTGAGCTACTCAGGCACAAGGCCAGTACAGAATTTATAGCTCCATTACCACATAAGCACATCACTGCTGGAGAGGATGATTATATCTTTCCTTTTTATCCTGTTCTTCTGCGTTTATAAACATAAAAATATGATTTCTCTTTACTCACATTTACTCTGCAAATTCTGATTATGGTTTAGATATGAGAATCTTGGTATTCTGAGGAAATGTATACTGACAGGGATTAAAAATGAAATTAATTAGTCCTAGAACCAGTAACCTTTGTTGTGTTTTTAATGCCTCTCAGTATATTTTAAAGCCAGTCTGAAACAAAGCAGGTAACAGTTTCACAAAGCTTTTTTTCTGAAGTTGGAAAAGCTCTCTTTTTAAAAAATGAAATAACCAATTATTTTTTATTATCTACCCACACAATTTGGATTAATCAATTGCCTAAAGTCTTGGAATGACTCCTGTATCCACTTGAGAGAATATAAGACATCCTCCTTTGACACGCATACCTGCAGAACCACTCATCATTTGATTCACAAATGATTGACAGCAGAGCTAGCACAGTGTGGAGTACAGAGTCTGTCTCTGAGGTTCTGAGATACCATGCAAGTCACAGGACCTGCTGATGTGCCGAAAGCTAAGAGGATCCTGATGACCGAACCTAGCCCTACCCAAACTGACACAGAGACTGCCATTTTATTCAGAACAACTGTAATACCTTGAATAAGGAAATTCATGTGAATCAAGTCATTAAATGTCAGTTGTTTTTTATTCTAACATTTCAATAAAAAAGGTGTTTTTGTGCTGCCGTGGATTAGTACATACAGCACTCAATGGCAAATTGTCCCTCTTCATTTTATAGTAATCAATTGTTTGAACCTCCAGAAAAGTGATTAAAAGAAGTTTCGTTTTTTTTTTTCAAAAAGCTGTAGAATAGGCTCTGGTATGCACCTTTATTTACAGTATGGCATGTTTAATGTGATAACATTATTCTACCTGGTAACTTTAAGCACTAAAAGAACAAAGGCAAGAGGGCCAATTATATGGATGGAGTCCTATTCTGCCTTGAGCTGTAAGTCTCTCACACAAGTACAATGTATCTCTTGGTCAATGTCAGAGTGGTTTATGGCTTCCAGAGCTTATTGTTAGTGCACATATAATTTGAAACAAACCACTACAATTCATGACAGAACAAAGTTTGAAGGCTAGAGGTAGGCCTTTGAATCCTAATGTAATTATAATTATTTTTAATTGTAAGTTAAAAAACTCCCCCCCCCAAAAAAAAAATGTTCTTAATGACAATGGAAACACAAGAGTTGTCATTATTTTCAAGGCTGTTTTAATTTACTGCACACCTTTTACCATCTGAAAACCCATGCTTTGAGCTTCTTTGTTGTTGAAGTTTGATAAAACCTAAAACATTCATTTAATCTTTGTTATCAAACAGCTATGTTCAATGTCCCTCTTTTTGCTTGGTGTATCTTAATGATGAAAAGTAGTTAAAATACCTTTTAGACTAGATACTCTTGCAGAGGCTCTATCTAGACAGCCAGCATTGCTACAATAATCTACCAAGATGTGCTTGAACACAAACTGGAGTTTAATTTGAAGGCCTGAAGTGCTTTCAATCCATTTTCCACATAGTTGAGCTTGTATAAAATCAGAGGACTCTCTTTCCAAAACAATTGCCGCACTAAAACATTTCCTTTTTACTTTTCTCTTCCTTCTAGACTCAAGAGTCCTTAAACCCCAATAATTTAGAATATTGGATGGAGGACATTTATACTCCCGGATATGATTCTCTCCTGAAACGCCGGGAGGCAAAGTTCAGGAGAGCAAAGGTTTGTAAGATAGGTGCACTGATTGCAGCAGCAGCCTGCACGGTCATCTTGGTCATTGTTGTCCCTATTTGCACTATGAAATCCTAAAAATATTTAAAGTTGTCATATTTTATACAGCTGTAATGTAACCCTTCAGCTACTTTGTCTTAAATTATATATACAGTATAAATAATATTTATTATAGTATGTTGACAGGAAAGATTTTTGTATGTGTTTTTATTTATAGAATTATTTATGTTTTTTTTACAAACCAATCTTGTGGGATATGTAAATTTCATTACAAATGTTTTCATTTTAAATATTTACCATGTTTTGTTCTATTTAAAAGCTAAGTAAGAGGTTTATAGTTGTTTTTTAACATAATTTCACTACAGGTTGGTTATATAGCAAATGAAAAAAATTTATTTTTTGAGAGTTCTATAATTCAGATTTTCTTTGAGTAAATTGACATGCATTGATGTGTTTGCTCTGGCTTTGTATTATAATTTCTCTGTCTGAATGTAAATGGAAGAAATTAAGATGTTTTAAGCCCTAAAACTGAAACGTTATAGACATTGTTCTAATCAGTAAATTTTTACTGGGTTTGTGCAATGTGTTTTCTGAGGAGGAAGTATAACTAATCTGAAAGCAAAAAAAACATGTTCATTACAAACAAGCACCCAAATATTAAACAACCATTTATCTTTTTTTCAAATGTAAAAGAAGGAATATGCTTTGCTTAGAAAGTAAGAATTAAATGTGGCTTTAAACCTTATTTCTTTATGTCAGCTGTATAGTTGTTTTTCTTCAACTGATACTGTAGTCCAGGGAGATCCAAAGTACTGTAGGTGGATGGTTAGTAATGGAAATTACTCGTATTTTGCAAATCATTACAGAGTAAGCATTTTTAACACCAGTAACGGCTAAGTTTTAGTTAAAATATTACAATCTAGCATGAATGAACTGAAAACCAGGATAAGCTTTAGGTGTGCCTTTAACATACTATTATAGGCAAATACACTATACTGTTATTGTTGTCAACATCATCATTAACAACTATAACAATGGCATATTTAAGCAAAACATACCTTACAGCTGGTTTACTATAAGCTTTTATCATCCACCAAGAGGAGCTCAGTGTTTTGAGATGAGCCTTATTTTATTTTAGGCAAAAGAGATGCCCGCGTGTGCAAAGCCAGGTTCAGAAAAACACTTTTCCTACAAAGCTGCCAGTAGTAATGTCTCAGTGTAGTCTCCCTTGGGGCCTTAGAAACAGTAAACTGCCTACCAGGATCAGTATTCTGATCATAGCTCCATGCACATTTCTACACTCAGAATTTTATGTGGTTGAACTGAATGACCTTGGGTGCCGACATCAATATCACTAAGCAGGGAGAGAAGTGTTTAGATTGAAATAAGTTTCCAGAAACTGTCTGATCAGTCTTGTTCCTCCGCCTTTATAAACAAACTGTGAGCCGTTGCAACTGTAGTATTTTGTAAATAATTTCAGTTTACCAACACATTATGTAAACACTGGTGTATCTCATCTAGAATAATAAAACCATACCTTTCTGACTGTTACTTCGTGTGCCTTTCTGTTTCCTTCTGCCCAAATAGACCTCATACAGCTCTTTCCATTAGGAAGATTTTTGCTAAAAGTGTAAATTCATCTGTGTTTCTCATAGAAGGCTATTTTTTTCAGTAGTGGAAGAATGTATTTGAAATCCCTTCTAGCAAAACTCTTTTTTGTCACTTGCAGCTATTATTTCTATTTCACGCAAATCTTCAATGTTTTTTTTGTGCAAAATACTGTATGTTTTAGAAACAAATGTGGCATTTTGTAATTGATAATTTCACCACAACTTTCCAGGCTTTTTTCTAAAAAAAGACTTCAGGCAAGGAAAAAACAAAATAAATGCCTTAAATATTACCAAGGAGTTCATATAGAGATTTCAGTTATAATGATAGAATCATTATAATTCTATGTACAAAATGTCAACAAAAACAGGAAAGCTGTTAAAGGTTTTCTTATTTAGCACAACCACTCTTAAACCATCTACAGTATAATTAGTGAAGGTCATGAGGAGTTCACTGTGTCATCATCATTCCTTTCCCTCTGTAAATAAAATAAGAAATATAGCAGCTACAATCCAGACTTACATGAGGTCTGTTTTTTTCTAAAGGAATCCTGTATATTTGAAGATCAGATAAGAAAAGCTATGTTTAGGTGAAAATTGTAATTACTAAGAAGAATTTTACAAAAATGCTTTTCAGCATTTTGTAATATCCAGTACAACTACTTCTGCCACAAATGGAGAAATGCAAAACGAATCTGCAGGAAACAATGTCATCCATGTTTAATTTATATTCCTTTATAAAAGGCCAATGAAAAATTTAAATTTTAAATTATCTACCAGGCAGGCCAGAATGGATGTGTAGGATGTGTTGCTAAGTTTATTTAACTTTAAAATTGTTGTATTGTGTCTTCTTTTATTTTATGCAAAAAGTGCAGATATATTTCTAAACAAACAAAGTTAGAAGTGCTTATTTAACTATGTGGCTTTTACTATATACAAAATGTTGCCTAGAAGCATAGCTTTGGGGCACAAAATATAGCAAAAATTCATTTCTGCACAATAAAAGAAGAAAGATATAAAAGTGCTTATGATCATTAGAAGTATAAACTGAAGAGAAAGCACTGTGAGTGCTGTCTTGAAAACGCAAGAAAATCGGAAAATGCATTTATCATGATAAACAGATAGTTATGATTGCAGTCTTACTGACCTTGCCAAATTAATACTGTAGGCCCTTTTTTCTTAAAAAAATATATTCTAGACAGGAGATTTGATTTGTATTATCCAATTGTGTTTTGAAAAGGAGACAATTGATAGAAAAACACAAATTAGCTGCTAATTATTAACCACATATTGCTCATAAAAGAGGAAATGCTATATTTTGTGATGTCACGGTAATAGAAAGAAACAGATTTCTGGTTTGTGAAAGCATTATTACTATTTTTTTAGATGCTTTGAAGATTATTCTTAGTACACTGTGTCAAGGAGGGCATGTTGGAAAAAGGATTGCATTGTAAGTATTGTCAGAAATGTTGCAGTCAGGTGTCTGGGCTTAAGGGAGATTTATAGGGAAATGTGTAATTTTTAAACAGAGATGACCTGCAGGTTATGTAAAGAAATAATACAGAGAAATTTAAACAAGAATTTATTTGTAAGTTAGCCTCCACGCAGGAATCTATAATACTTCAGAGCCTTCATAATACTTCAAGGGAATAACACATAAATATATATTTTTTCATTTTGTCTTAGTAATATACTGTACTGAGGTTGTATGGAAAATAATCTAATTACATTAAGATTGTTATAGAACATGAGAGTATTACTTTCTTTACATTTCAAGGCAATACCATACAAAATTATTAATTATAAATTCCATACATAATTATTAATTATTAGTGGAAGGCAAAAATGTCTAAATTTGTCACTCCACTTCAGAAATTTAATCTAATACTCTAATGCTTAAAGAAATCAAAAGGCAAAAAGAATTTGTTAGAGACAACATTTTCATTTTTTCAGTTCCAAATTTATTCTATCATAATAGCTTGCAAATAATTATAATATATGCCTAATAGACACCATCCAAAAATGCCTTAATAGATTTTATTACTTATTACTTACAAAAACATAAACATTACAATAGCAGCGATTTTCAAATGTTCCATTTTCTACTTTCACGTCTCATGTTAAGTAAAGAACCAATCCAATTTAACGCACATTAAGAACTGGAATGTACCTGATAGGGCTACTTTGTAAATGTTGAGCAAATGTAAAGTAATGTTTTGGCTTTTTGGGCGGTTTTTGTTGTTTTTCTAAATCTGATGGTTCACTACAGTAGCAAAATCTGTGAAGCATTTGTTAAAGAGTAAACCAAAGACCTAATTCTGTCAATCACCACTAAGCTCAGAGTAGTCTTCAAAAAACACCAGCTAGCTGATCTAGGGAAGCCAGCCTTCTGGACAACTTCCTCCAGCTTTCAGCCCTCCTCTGAAAAAGTCCCCAAGCCCACATGAGATTCCAAGCAAAGATTCCTCTATGCTTTTATAGATTTGGTTGTTACTACTTTCAGAAACTGCATGACAGCCTATCAAAAACATTATTAAATATTGCATTCCATCAGATTCATTCTTTAAATACATTTACTCAGTAGAATTAATTAAGTGTATGTAAAACCTATTAGAAACTACGGAAAGTATATGTTATTATATTGAAAATTAATTAACTGGAGTTAATTAAGTTAACTGGAGAGCCAAATACTGAACCTAATGTCAGTTAGATGTCATGCCAGTTCCTCAGGTTATAAAGTGAAACTAGTGGCAGCAAGGAGCAGGGTATATTGCATATTAGGAGAAAAACAATTTTTCCATTATATGAGCCAAGAATTGATACCAGTTTCTTTGCACCCTAGCCAGTAAAATAAAGTGACAGCCTCTCCTAAAGCCACAGTAGCTGCTCAGAGTTTAAGAGCCAGTCTGATAAAGATATGACAGATAAATAATTGAAGGAAGTGATTTGCTATCCAGAATTGACCTGCAGTATCTAGCCTTCTATCCCAGCATTATATGCTCCATCACATGTGCTCTCTAGATAGGAAAATGCATTAAACAGAAAAAAATGTTCAATAACCTATAAATAACTACAGACGAATAATTATTCCCGCAGCATCCATTCTGCCTATACTAGTCTTTTAATATGATATTATTTCAAATCATATAAACATGAAAAATAAGTATTTGGGTGACAGCTATAACACAAAGTGATGCAACTCTTTGTATTGTCCCAATAAGAACACAAAACAGAAGGTGTCATGTTGACTTTATACTAATATGCAAAAACGTCAACAGGTGGTGGTGGCACAGTGGCGCAGTGTTTAATTTTGCTGTTTTGCAGTACTGAGCCCCTGGGTTCAATTCCGCACATGGGGTGCTATCTGCTTGGAGTTGGAATATTCTCCCCATATTCACATGGGTTTGCTATGGTCTCCTTCCACAGTTCAAACACATACTGGTAGGGTAATTGGCTTCTGAGAAAACTGTCCCTAGTGTGGGTGCGTGCATGTCTGTGTTTGTGCACGCCCTGTGATGGACTGGTGTCCTGTCTAGTATGTACCCTGCCTCACTGCTTGTCAGGACGGGGCT